CATCCATAAAAAATCCTTCTATTTTTGATTCTCTGAGCCAGCTGTCTGCTGGGTTTCAGAAGGTGGTACCAGATGCTGCTATAATTGAGCGCTCAGCTGCTCTAATTGGGTCCAATTACACGCGAAACACTATATTATTCCATATAAGGCCTGATCAAGTCACTTGAGCTCTTGTGACGTCACAAAATATCCTAGTCGGCATACGACACGTTACGAATGTGATCACGTGCTCGAGGATTTACGAATCAAGGTCACGTGATAGGACCGACTGTCACGTGACCTCAGTTATCCCTTATATGGCACAATGAGCTGCAATTGATCAGCTCTTAATTGGGCTGCAATCCTTGACAGGCCTATAATTACCCAATTTTAAATGAACGATATCTCATCCTACAGAATGATGAGAGCGTAAACAGAATGCTTCCCGGAATCAGCACAATGAAGGGAACAAGATGCTGTTGGAATATCAATTATTCATCTTCCACCCGTAGTCCCTAATCACGTTGCAACCCCCACGGTCGTTTCACTATAAAGTTTTTGCGATACATGGGGAGCCGGGTCACAGCGGCGGGTCATACAACGTATGACAAAAATATTATTGACTATATTTTATGACGATGAATTGTAAATTTCGATCAATTTATATTTATTTGGTCTCCAATTATTGAACTGCGCGGCTTTTATGGTTATATATGATATGTTTAATCTGTAATAAAAATCAAAATTCAAATTTGTATTCCAAATTTGTATTCCTTTGTTCTCCAGTCTATGGCCTGCTTTTCTTACGTCCAAATATATAAATAAAGTAAAGTAAAAGTAAAATTTATGACATCACATCATCACACATGTCTACAAACTATCATCGCACTGTGTGGAAAAATATATAATAAATATTTCCCCACCAACATTAATTAATTATCAAATACAATATTTAAAAACAATTTCATCAAAAACATTATCCTATTTTAAAAACTTCCCAGTGGAATAAAGATTTATAAAACGCTTCTTTGCCACATAAGGATGGAACCAAAGATAATTGTTATGTTTCTCTTTATTACTGACATAACTGGCTCCCTCAATTCTTACTAAAACTTCATTAGAAACATTCCAAAAAAAGCAATCATTTGTAATACTTTTAGAAATCATATCTATCTTATATCCTTCTAATTTAATTTTAAAACCTAAAACTGTCACAGAGTTCTTGACGTCCGGAGGGAGTTTGTTCCAATATGAAATAACTCGCTCCGGGAGAAAAGACTTCTGGATATTCTTGACCTTTGTCACACTTTTACTACATCTATTGGATGAAACCAGATTAAGACCTGATCTGCTTGGTCTGAACAAGTCTGAACCATAATCAGTCATAGCATTAATAACCTTAAAAGCTTCAATAAGGTCCCCACGTATTCGCCGCTCTGCCAGCGTTGTCAAATTGAGGATTTCCAGTCTACGGCTGTAAGGAAGAGTACCCACCTCATCAATCAGACGGGTAAACCGCCTCTGGACGCTCTCCAGCTCCAAAACAGTCCCCCAACTTCCATGAGCCGCAGGTGGATTCCACAATTGGACACAATACTCAAGATGAGGTCTTATTAAAGCTTTATATATAGCAATCATAACAACCTTTTCTCTAATAACTAAATTCCTTACAATCCAACAAATCATACGATTTGCCTTAGCGATACATGCTTTGATCTGTTCGTTCCAAAGCAGGGAGCTATGGGTAATAACCCCCAAATCTTTTTCCTGATCAGATACTTCAAGTTCTATACCATTTACCTTATAATTTAAATTAGGATTGTTGTTAAAATGAATGTGCACTACTTTGCACTTGGCAGGATTAAATTGTAAAAGCCAAATACTTTCCCAAACTTCTAATTCTTCGATATCTTCAGCAACACTACCGTGGTTAGCTGCATTACCAATTAATTTAAGATCATCAGCAAATAACTTTATCTTATTTTTTACAAGGTCAGGCAAATCATTAATATACAGAATGAATAGGAGAGGGCCTAGAACTGACCCCTGAGGAACACCAGATAAAACATGTTTAACCTCGGACCATTGTCCTTCTACAGAAACCCTCATAGTCCTGTCTGTCAGAAAATCTTTAATAACATCTAAAACCTTTCCTTTGACACCAAAGCCTTCCAATTTAGACAGAAGTCTAAAGTGGGGGACTGTGTCGAACGCCTTACTAAAATCAAAGTATAGAAGATCAACCGGGGCACCTTCATCTAAAATGTCAAGAATGTCATCAAATGTCTCTAAAAGATTAGATAAACACGATTTACCCTTAACAAATCCATGCTGATGCTTCGAAATTCGATGTTCTAGAAAATTTAAAACATGTGCTCTCACCAACTTTTCATACACTTTGCACAAAATACAAGTTAATGAAACTGGTCTATAATTTAAGGGGTCTGATTTAATACCCTTTTTAAACAATGCTACAACAGATGCAGATTTCCACACTGCAGGTAAAGATCCTGTATCTGAACACTTTTGAAATAATTTAGTTATTGCTTCAACAAAATTGTTGTCATAAGCTAGCGATTTCAACAACTTCGGATGAACACCATCCGGACCAGAACTCTTAAAAATGTTAAGCTTTAAAAGTTGCTTTTTTATATCAGAACTGTTGACTTCCATATCATCAATATCATCAATACTCTCATTGTCAGGTCTTAAATTCTCAGTTTTAGGGAGAGGGCCAGGTGGTTCACGCACAAAAACAGAGCTAAAGGCACTTGCGAGTACCTCAGCTGACTCAGTCGAACTATCTGTGCGTGTACCATCTCCTCTATCTAAAGAAACCACACTAGACTTAACTTGACGTTTATTTCGTAAATAAGAGTAAAAAGACTTACAATTCTGCTTCAGATTAGATGTAATTTTCTTTTCATAATTAACTTTAGCTTTAATTTCTGCTAATTCATAAGTATGTTGTTTGCTACTTGCATAACTAAAATTAACATCAGATGGATTAATATCAAACTCAGCCCATGCTTTATCTTTATTCTTTCTCATTCGTTTAAGTGCAGATGTACTCCATGGCAACTTGACAGGTCTGTTGTCGAGATAAACCGAAGCAGTCGGAACAGCTGCAGCAACAGTCTCCAGTTTACCATGTAATTCAGCCCACATATCTTGAACATCATTGGTAGAACTATAATCCCAGTCGATATTTTTCAAACTAAAATTTAATAACTCTTCAGAGGAAATCTTACCCCATATAGGTTTGATAATCTTCTCTTTTAAAAATTTGCTAGTATCCGGCGAAACAACTAGTTCGACAAGTATCCCAACATGATCACTCTTACCAAGCGGAGAAACGATCTTACAACCGTTGACAAGAGCATCATTTGTATACAGGACCTGATCAAGAAGACTCTCCTGGAGAGTATCCTTCACAAGCCGTCTTCTAGTTGTCTCGTTGGTGAAATACCAAGTTAAACCACTGTCATTGAAAACATCCATGAATTTCTGTTGAGTAACTAAAAACTGGTTCTTGCTAGCAATATTACTATTTATGCTACCAGTTTCCCATAAAACATTTGGTAAATTAAAATCTCCTAAAAGGAGTGTTTCAAAATCATTCCTTTCACTACAGATGCTCTTGATACAAGATATTAACGCATTATTCTGTTCTAAATTCAATGAAGTGGATCTGTAAATACAACAAATACTAATCAGTCCACCTGATGTGTTGATATTAACAGCTAAAGAATCCGGTGCCTTTAAAAAAGAGTTCACTAGTGAAGCATTACAACAGTTTTTAACATAAATTATAGAGCCTCCTCCACCACTTATACTGCCAGTGGAATTGTCAATTCTAAAATCTCTATCTTTTCTAAACATACTAAATCCTTCAATATAAATTTCGGCATCTAATATATCACTACTAAAATGAGTTTCTGTTACACAAATTACCTCAATAGATTTATACATTGATAAAATACATTTTAGTTCATCAATTTTATTAAATAGGCCGTTAGCATTGGTATAAAAAATATTTAACGGCTGGGCACTGCGGCCTCCGCTTTGTCCTCTGTCTTCTCTGGCTCTCTTTTCTTTGCCTCCTCCTTCGTCTTCTCTGTCTCTCTTTTCTTCGCTTCCTCCTGCCTCTTCTTCCTCTCCTTTCTGGCTAAAAAACGAATATCTCTGTCTGCCTTGCAGAGGTCCAAGTTGATCCAATAAGTTGACTCTTTCCAGCCCTTACCATGGTCAGCGTAGAAATTTACTGACTCTTCATCTCGTGTCTGGATGATGAGCGGGCGACGGTGATCTGGCTTGTCAGCATCAAGCTTGCCAGAGCGATGGCAACTTATCATGTCGTCCTTCTTAATCTTTAGGGTCTCCCTGCAGAACTTGGAGTCGTCCTCCTGGCGTTGCTTAGAGGTAGTCTTTTTGCTCTCTGGAACCTTGAGCACACACAGATTGAGTTTTCGTTTGTTTCGCTCAAATGTATCAGTGTGCATCTTCATTTGCACTTCCGAAATAACAGTTTCAGAAGCTTGTTCACGACTCATGTCATCGAGAACCTTCTTCTGGGTTTGTGCTGTTACCTCAGAATAGAGACGAACAGCTTTATCAACTGTTTTCTCTGCACTTCCTTTAATAGCTTCCTTAATCGAGTTAGTCAGGGCTGGGGTCAAATGTTGGAGTTCCTCTTTAATAATAGCCCTGACAGCCCCGTTTTCCTTAGTGTCAGCTGAGGTATGAGGCGCCACAAAACAGTATGGGCACTTCCAGTTTGTAAGATTCAGTAACATCTCGTTTTTAAGGCCAGATAAACCAACACAACTCAGGTGCCAAAATAATTGGCAAGCTTCACATTCAACTGATAGTTCTTCTGACATGTAAACATCACATTGGCAGTATTTTTCCTCTGGCACTGGGACATTATCAGAAGATGAATCCTTAGGGGGACTCGTCTTGACTCCACGTTTTTTTCGTATCGACACCCTCTCGGGTACATTGTTACTTGCCATCCCTGAACTCAAATTATTTGTTATATAGTAGTGTTGAAATAAATAAATTTAATAAGAGCTATTGCCTATTTATTTACAAATATAAATAAACCAAATTTGCTTAAAGAAGTATTTTTTGCTCATTGTTGTTAGCACATTTCAGGCTACTATACGGGTCAAATCTTAAACTTTCCGACTATTTCCAAGTTATCAAAGCAAATACTTTTCTCCCATCACCATGAAGTCCAGGGTTCGAATCCCAGATTCACCTAGTCCAGGGAGATAGCTGGTGGATGGATCTGAAGTTACATATTTAATTTTATTTGTGTAACCCCAAAGAAATTTTCAAAATATATATGGACACGTTCATTGAAGTTTGAGGATATTGGTAAATATTAGTGACCCTACTAAATGGCACGATGATGTAAAATGTGTCACACTATAAAACTATATAAACCCTCAATGGTTAGGATAATCGTTTCATCCTCTAGATAAACTTTGTCGCATAACGATATCTTTATCAGACAATAAGATATCGTTTAAATGCGGCCGGCAGTGAGTTGTAAACTTTGTCACACTATAAAAACGTGACAGAGTTTATATGGACCCCTTGTTGCCGTGTTTGACCAAATTTTCGAATTTCAAATTTATAGGATAGTTGCATATGACTATTATCTACATATTTAGCGACTTTTTTCGTTAAATGGTAGCACCATGTAAACTCCGTCACACATTTAAGAAATTTATATGAGGGATGTTTATGACATCCTGACAAGAAATGCCGAATAGTCTAGCATTATTTTGTGAGCTGAATGTGTTTGGAATTGTTCACATATTTCATTGTTATAGGCAAATACAAATACAGAAGGCAGAAATAGGTAAATTTAGTCACATAAATTTGTATGATATCTCAACATGTGTGAAATTGAGTAAATATTAGTATACCAACTTAAACACCCTATATTACGTACTATGGATCAATTAACAATATTACAACCATACGCCGGTCATATAAATTATTATATGGCAGTGATATGTTAACATTGGCAAAATTTCAACACCTGAACAGGGTAAAAATTTGTAAATTTCGTCACAAAAAAAATATTATAACTTTATTTGCTCCGTGTTGGCAAAATAACTAATTTATCGACATAGTGATGGTGATAAAGTAACATTATATACTAATTGAGGTATGATTCTTCAAAATAGGGGCAAGAAATGTAAATTTCGTCACATCAGCCATAGCATTAGTTAGATAGATTTTCTTTCATATCAACTGCCCTTATTATAGCTAGAATGGATTTATACAGGAAATATAGAAACCCATGCCCATTTTTCATCACATTGAAATTATACTGTTGGGGCAGGAAAAGTAAATTTCGTCACATTTCGGTAAATTAGTGATATCAAACTCAGCATTGTTAAACTTGGGTTCTGATTTGCTGAAAAATAACCAACCAATAATTCCTGGAAGAAATTTGAATTTTAACTGAGGTATGGTTCTTTAAAATAGGGGCAAGAAATGTAAATTTCGTCACATACGTAATTTTAAAATTTAGATAGATTTTATTTCCTACCAATAGTCCTTATTATAGTCGGAATGGATTTATACAAGAAATGTAGAAACCCATGCCAATTTTTCATCACATTAAAACTATGCTGTTGGGGCAGGAAAAGTGAATTTCGTTACATTTCAGTAACTTAGTAAAATTAAGCTCAGCATTGTTAAACTTGGGTTCTGATTTGCTGAAAAATAACCAACCAATAATTCCTGGAAGAAAATTGAATTTTAACTGAGGTATGGTTCTTTAAAATAGGGGCAAGAAATGTAAATTTCGTCACATACGTCATTTTAAAATTTAGATAGATTTTCTTTCATATCAATAGTCCTTATTATAGTTAGAATGGATTTATACAGGAAATATAGAAACCCATGCCAATTTTTCATCACATTGAAATTATACTGTTGGGGCAGGAAAAGTAAATTTCGTCACATTTCAGTAACTTAGTAAAATTAAACTCAGCATTGTTAAACTTGAGCTCTATTTTGCTAAACAATAACCAACCAATAATTCCTGGAGGAACATTGAATTCTAACCGAGGTATGGTTCTTCAAAATAGGGTCAAGAAATGTAAATTTCGTCACATACGAGTACGTCATTGTAAAATTTAGATACAATTTCTTTCACGTGAACAGTCCTAATTACAGTCCGAAATGATTAATACAGAGATACAGGAAATATAAAAACCCCTGCCCATTTTATAATGTATGTAATATGTTAATCACAGACTATTTCATTCTATAATCATTGTTTCCAAATTTAACCTATTTATGATGTCTTATCATTTTGTGACGATGTTTATATTAACTGCCCTATACTTGAATCAACTGTATCCGTGTATCGTCCTTATATAGAGTTTTCCCGCAAAATGTAACCTATTTACGATGTCGTATCATTTTGTGACGATGTTTACAACAACTGCCCTATACTTGAATAAACTGTATCCGTGTATCATCCTTATATAGATTTTCCCCGCAAAATGTAACCTATTTACGATGTCGTATCATTTTGTGACGATGTTTACATCAACTGCCCTATACTTGAATCAACTGTATCTGTGTATCGTCCTTATATAGAGTTTTCCCGCCTTCCAAACCAAAATCAGATATAAATGATTTCGGAAATTCACCCAGAATTTCAAATTCCATATAATGTGACAGAATTTACATCATTTCCCAATAACCAAGTGCATGTATTAGCTAACTTTTCAAAACAACATATTTTAGGGCTATGATTGGCAGAAGAACCATCAAATAATGAGTTGAAAGGGTTTTGAGGACACCTCACAGTAGAAAAGAGGTCTCGTATTCTGAGTGTGACAAAGTTTACGAAATATTGCCTTAAAGCCGTTCGATCCGTGCCCTTTAACCAATGTTGTATCATAATTGTTAGATTGACCTAATTTACTATATTTCAGACCAAGGAATGATAATTGGGCAGCTATGGTAAACAATTTCACAAAAATGTGACATTTTTTACATTATAGTGCCTAAAAGCAATACATTTTATTTCTGAGCAGTGCATATGGGAGTATGGGTCACGTGGCTAATGTTCAGAACTTATGAACACGCTAGATTAATAGATGCTAAAATTAAGCCACTATCGTCGAAAACGCTATTTTAAAAATTTACCAATATCCTCAAACTTCAATGAACGTGTCCATATAATACAATACATGTCTCACACATGATTTATGTAATGTTTCTTAGCTTTTACTCAGTCGACTCAACCGAATGCTCGTAAATCCACGAATGAGATCAAGAATCTTTTTAGGTACCCTTTCAGTACATCTACATTGTAGCATACTGTAAACATAGTACTAGACTGTACTATTCTATAAGGGTGATTTCTTACATTTCTGAACCTTTATTAATTTAAGCAACGTTTTGTTTAGTACAGTCAAACAGCTTTTTTAAATCATGCTTCTCTATATCCTGAATCTCTCTTTAATCTCTCTGCATGACTTGTACATGTCTGATTCGGTGGTGATGCCAGATGTAAGCACATATCTAGCTGTACTCTCTCACAGATTGACACAAACATGATATGGGCTAAACGATGTATTTTTTCCCGATCCATGACTCAAAGTACCGAAGGCACAAAAGAGTCAAGGACAAGGGTTAGCGAACGAGGATTTTTTTTGTATATGGTAGCTTTGCGACCGTGCCTGCGTGCGAGCGTGCGAGTGTGCGAGCGTACGTGTTGCCCACGTGTTGAGCCTGCGCAAAGTTATTTTGCGTGATAATCTGAATTAAACAATTGTTGGCGCGCGGTGCTGAAATGTTCAAGTACATTGTTAATTTCACCATGTACGCATCCCGCTAGGGACTAATTGATAGCATAGTATTATTATTTTGAGTTAGTAATACTATTTTGCACAGATCCGTGTTAGGTTGCATAAACAATAAACATATGGTTACATAGAAATATACACGATTTTCAAATTCAATATGGAATTATATCAACTGGGCGGCGGTCGGCCTGTCACTCCGCCATATCTGCATGCTTATAAACAGTAAAGACTGGGGTCCCCAGGTGGTATGGAATATAATAAAATACTCCATCACGGATCGGGAAATTGAGCGGCCATCCACAAAAGAAAAGCAGCCGCATTTCTTGTTGATATTATGATGTAGCTTCACGGAAATAATACTTGAATCATTTTACATTGAATGTGCTAGAAACTCGTCAATGCAGTGGCGTAACAAAGGGCCCTGCTCCTGCCGACCCCGCTGTGCAGGGGGCGACATCTTAGGGGGGCACCAAATCGTCGTTTGAATGTGGAATAATTTGGAAAAACTTAACTATGGTACTAGCAAAAAAAACACACTTTTTTAGATATTTACTGGTGTATCCGCTAAAATCATATAATTTGTTCAATTTTAGGGAAGGGCGCCAAAAGGGGAGGGGGCGCCAACAGGGGGGCCCTTTTTCAGCAGGGGAGGTTGGCAACAGGCAACGTTACGCCACTGCGTCAATGCCATCCAGATTCTGTGACAGACGAAGTGGATTCTATTTTCTTGCTGTGTCATCAGCCAGAAAACTGGCAATTTCCAACACCATGACCATATCTAGAACTTCTTAGGATGATCAAACAAGTTAGAATTAGTTTGTTTCGGTCAAAAACTGCCTACCAAATCATCCTTCAGAGTGTTTTCTAGCTACCTCATGAAATGAATAGTAAAAGAATAGTAAAAGAAGGTTGGTTCTGTTTCAACTTTCTATGACCAGCCACTAAAATCAGTGCTAAATAAGCATATTTAGACACTACTGCACTGACCTAAGGACAAAGGCCAAACTAATATAATAATAATAATCTTAAAGGGATATGGAAAACTATCAAACTGGCATCAAATATGACCCCTGGTACAACTAATTGTCAAACTATCAATGAGAATGATCCTGAGCTATTTAACTTTCATTTTGCAAATGTTGGATCAAGATTACAAAATCAGGCCCCCAATATTGAAAGAGTTAGTTTTACTGATTTTTTAC